CGGGAGCCGCGCTGTGTCAGATTACACAGCGCGGCTCCCGATCCGGCTCAGCATTCTATCGCCATGGCAACCATCAGTATCCGGCGGGCCCCCCATCTCTGCGCCGGGAGTGTCGGATGAACGAATGATCCGTACCCATCCGGTGCTGGGACTGTGCTGGGCCCCCCCAGGCCAAGACCCTGGTGCGCCCGCACCGCCGGTAGTTCCACCACTGGCTTCCACTATTATATAGAACAATGTTACATTTTTATGTATTAATTTAATGTAAAGCCTAACTGAAGACACAGGAATAGCTATATACCCATCCGGTGCTGGGACTGTGCTGGGCCCCCCCAGGCCAAGACCCTGGTGCGCCCGCACCGCCGGTAGTTCCACCACTGGCTTCCACTATTATATAGAACAATGTTCCATTTTTATGTATTAATTTAATGTAAAGCCTAACTGAAGACACAGGAATAGCTATGCAATCAGATACATTTTGTGTTAACCTCCATTTTCCTAGTCTCACCTCCACTTTTTTGTTACAACAGCTGTGCAGGTTGTCTAAATTTGACTGTGCAGTTTAATAGGCACCAGAGTTAGACCTACTGCTCTCCATATTGTAGCAGAGGTGCTCAGACACACCCACTCACCTTCCCTGCAATACAGGTTTGTGTGAGGACACTAGTGATAAGGGGTGTGGCTGTTACTCAGCTCTGTAATTTGGGGTTTACATACACTTTAACAAAGGATTTCCAGCTTGGAATGTAGTAGTATACAAACAGACCGGACTCTGGCTCTACATAGGATTTCCAGCATTATTGTAATCCTATTAGGTCATTGCTATTAGTGCAGTGGTTGTGCTGAAGGTTTGTATTTATTTTAGCCTATGTTAGTACTATGGTTTACATGACTGTTGTGTTTATTACTTACACAGTATTTATGTATGTGACTTCCATGCAGGCATCAGAAGGTGTCCCCATGCGCTTGTTTGTAAACCTCCAAGAACTGATTGACTTTTATCGGAAAGAGAATGTTGGACTCGTCACTAACCTACGGAATCCTGTGCAGCGAGAGGAAGAGGGACCTGAAGAGCTTGATGAAGATCAGGGTAAGATGTTACCTGTAAATGTTTTTTCCCCAACTCTCCATAAATTAGTAGCAAAAAAAGGACTTGAGGCCCGATGATTTTTCAGTAGCTCAGAATGTTCAAATTCTTAAAATGCAGCTGGTGTACTTAAAGCATCAATGTCCCATGTGTCCCCTCCCCTTGGTTCAAGTTGACCTCTCAGTAGATATCTCCACCCTTCTTTATTATGTTCCAGTCTGCATCTCAGCCACATACAGTATATTTTGCTAAATAGATCACATTATTATCTTTTGACCTATCCTATGCTCACTGTTGTTAAGATCTCCACAGTTTGGATTAAACTTCTCAACAATCTTCAAGGTGTTATATGGATTGAGTCCTGTCTGCTAACCATATCTGAGATTGTGAGTTATAGCCATCTCGCCATCACACTTTCAATGCCTAGACTGGGGGAGGAGAACACACTCCATGTTTAAGCTGCTTATTGATAAAGAAGATCTAAAATTATCTTGCTTTTGCAGATAATGTTTATTTGTAGGGCAGCGGCTTAAAGTAATTGTACAGTGTTTTTTTTTTATTTATTGTCGTTTATTTATTTCTGTTTTTGGTCAGGACTAAAAAACATTTTATTGTTTTAGTCAGGTAAATATGAAATATTATTTATGAATATGCTATACTTTCCAATTTCATCCAGTATGTGAAGATGTTGGATAGTTTCTACATTCTGATAATGTGACTTTACTGCAATGCTGTGGTAAGCATGGCTTGTGAAAATATCTGAATACCACACACAGCTTAATGAGCCATTGCGGACTTCTCTCCTTGTCTGCTACACATATGGCCTCATAAGAATTTTCGATTGGACTGAAACAATCAATAAATAAGAAGGTGTTAGTTGTTCTTTTTCAAAACCCCACCATATTCCACAAAATTAGTGTTGTGGAAGCATACTCAGGGCTGGGTTTCCCACAAAGCCACAGAGGCCCGGCCTCAAGGTTATCCAACCGTTGTTAAGCAACCTCTCAACCACTAGCAACATCAGCCCCCAAACAACGCATGGGGTATGATGTGAAGCAGCACTCTCACCGCCCTACTCCATTCATAGGCATAAGAGACCTAGCTGCATACTGACCCCAATCCATCCTCCGCTGTTGCGATCCATAGGTACACCTCCCCCGAGGTGGGACGTTACAGTGAGGGCTCCAGGTGGTCAGTGAGGGCTATAGCTGGTCAGCATGGGCTCCCAGTTGGTCAGTGTGGGCTCCAGGTGGTCAGTACAGGCTCTCAGCTGGTCAGTGTGGGCTTCAGGTGGCCAGTGCTGACTCTCACCAGGCCATGGGTATACAGAGTGAAACTGGCGGCTGCGGCCGCAGCAGATGCAGCTCTCAGCTCAGGCAGCAGCTTGCTCATCACTAGGGCCCAGAGAGGCCCCAGCGAGCGGCCCTCTAATATGCCTGAATAAAGGGCAGTGGCTGCCTGGTCACGGACGGTCCGTATTATCATCGGGCTGGCCACAATTCGGGTCGGGCTGGCAGATTCGGGTTCGCTGAGTCTATTTGCAGGTGTGGGCCTGGAGCAAGATCTCCACCCACCTCTATGTTAATCCGCCCCTGCCCGTATGTTGGGTAATGCTCATGACAGCACACTTATGGCTTCACTTTCAACATCAGTTCTGACTATCTGAGGTCAGTTACACTTATCTTTGTGCTTGATTTACTAAAATGGACTTATAAGTCATACAGCAGTTGCTTTCTGTTGATTGGTAATCTCTTTTTTGCGTGATTTAAAGGACTATTTTAAGGTGTATGTTAACCCTAAAAACCTATTATCTAATACTTTTACTTATGATCTGTTAAATTTACCATTGAAATAATTTTGTTAAATCTGTTACAAAAAATACCTGTTAAACCTACCAAAAATTAATTGAGCATGTAACTTCCTGTGCACTCTGGCCATTTGCCCAGCTGCAATACCATACATTTTTGTTGGGTTTAGATACATTTCAATTTCAATCATCTGGGACTTTAGGACAGCCTTTCTCATCCATGGTGTGTTCTGACTTTCTCAGGGGTGCCTCAAAACTTTTGCACACCATCATGCCTTTCCATGGTGGAGGTAACCCGACCACTAGCAGCATGGAAACAAATTATGCTAATTTGGGTGAGAGATGGGGGGTGCGGGGGTGGATCCATTCAGAAAAGGGCAGAAGTTCACCTCCGTCTAGGCCTGCTCCACCTCCCAATTTCTGCCCTGCTGCCCCTGATGTAATGGACTTTGATGTAAAGGGTGGACTGAGGACTTTGTTGTTAAGGGGGACTGAGGGCTCTGATGTAAAAGGGGGACTGAGGATTCTGATGTAAAAGGGGGGTGGGGACTCGGAAAAAAGGGGGACTAGGGACTCTGATGAAAAAGGGGACTGAGGACTCTGATGTGATGGGGTTGACTGAGGACTCTGATTTAAAGGGGGGACTGAGAACTCATAGAGTTCTTCTGATGTGAAGGGGAAACTCTAATGTAAAAGGGGGGATTATGATGTGAAGAAGGCTTCTAATATAAAGTGGGGCTCTAACATAAAAACAGAGGACTCAGATGTGAAGGGGGCCTATGGTGTGAGATGTGGGAACTCAGATGTGAAAGGGTGACTCTGATGTAAAATGGGAGGGTTCTGATTTGAAGGGGGTTCCTAATGTAAAGGGGAACTTCTGATTTGAAGCGGGACTCAGATGTGAAGGGGATAACCCACTTTTTTTGTGTTTTTGCATGGGGTCCCTCCTTAAAATCTATACTAGACCTCTATCCCAAAAAGGGTCTGGTATAGAGTTTGAAGGGGTCACACAGCTTTTTTTTTTACATTTTAGACTGGGATGCCTTGAAATGTTGCATACTTTTAAAGGGTGATAGAAAAAAGCTTGAGAAACGCTGATCTGTGGTGGGATATTAGAGTGTAAGCACCTTGCTGAGCTCAGCTCAGCTATTATTGTCTGCTCCAAGACAGTGAGCGAACATAAGAGCAAGTGAATGCCCTGTAAGCACAGCAGAAAAGAAGCTGTGGCCCAGCAGGAGGGAGGCCAGTAGTGGGATATGGCCTGGTGGTGGAGACCCACTGGCATACACTAAATTCAGAATCATTCCTTTTTTTTGACAAGATGAAAAACTCATCAAGAATCAGCTTCCAATTACAAATGAGTTTCTGAAGTTCTTATCTCATTCCCTTCCACATTTACTGGAGTTATTTTTTTAAACGTAAACACTACTTACATATTATTAATACTCATGTCTTCACAGAGCCCACCCCTCCAAATGTGCCACCGAGGAATTTTACCCCTACGTTGCTACCATCAGAAGTAAAGGATTTCCCTCTGAGCACAGATAAAAATTATGTTGGGAACAATTTGCTGTTCATTTCTGAAACATTTCTACAGAGACTGCAGGACATTGACACGCGCAGGTAAATCTAGACATTACTGTGTATTCTTCATAACATTTAGAAAGGGAACGTCCACCTGTTCGTAGTCATTTCTCATGCAGTGCTTGTATCGCACAAACTCACACTGTCAGGGCCAGTTCATCAAAGCATTCTGCTTTATCAATGTACAGTCTACCAGGCCTTTACACTTGATTCAATGCACCAACCCTCTGTACAGGTTCACCCCACCCTAACTCTCCACACTAGCATGCAACATACTCTGCCTTTCTCCATCATTGCTGAATGCCCATCCATTTATTTAATGCATAGTCCCTTTTCCAGATCTGCTCTATCTTCACTAAAATAGAATATACTGTATTTGGTGTGGATAAAGAACATTGGACCTGATTTATAGAAAGTTGAGCAGTGTCTGTGTTTCCGATGGGAAATACTTTGTTTTATTTTCTACCATGGCTTGGAAAAATCATATTTGGCTTATGAAACGTTACTTCAGGTCTCATTGATGTTGCTCTTTCTTATAAATCAGCCCTATTGCAGTAAATCCATTTTACTTTAATCTGTCACCCACAATAGATCATTTACAGTTGCAGTAGTTTACTAATTAGGCAAGGCAGCAGATTTCCTCCAAGTCGGTCACTGTACTAATTAACGGTATAAACAAAACTCAGTTTGTAGAGTAGTTTGCATGCATGATTGACCCTACCATGCTTCTTCATTGCACTAAGTAGATCATGCTGGTGCATGTCCAACTTTAAAAAGTGACCGTCATGGGAAACCCGCTCAGTCAATCAACTGTCCTCTAAGGTTTTTACTCATTTTGGAAAGTGGCTGTATGTATTTTTGTCCTCTCCCAATCTAAACGTAAATGATTGGACTGTTTGTATATTATCGTACAATAGATATATGATCACCCTGTAAAAGCAAAAAAGAATCTGTTTTAATAATTTCAGACTTAAAATCATGCCCTGTAGGGCTGCTTCATATAAATTCTAATGCAAAATCACACATTGACACACTAACATAGACCATTCAGTGCAGTAATCACTAACAACATTTTTTGTGCATGGCCACCGCTGGCTAAAATATACAGAACTTCAATGCACTTTGTCCAACATTGGTGTGCAGAAATGTGTAGAAGCATGAATGAACCCTAAGCAAGTATAAGGAAACTTTAGCATGTGTTATAACAATAGTTGTGTCACATGAGATAAAGGAAATAGCAAGATAAACGAGAAGCTTACATTTGGGAATGGTCAATCACAATTACAAACAGAACTGGGAAGATTAATCATTACTAGTCGATTGCCAGTTAACACCCACTATAAAGGAAGTGCACTGTATACCATCTGAGAGGCCAAATAGTTGATACAACTCAAAATGCAATGTTGTATATTACTGAATATATCTAGGGAAAAGTCTCATATGTAGAGGTGCACCAAAACGAAAATTTCAAAACCGAAACAAAACCAAAATGAAAAAAATGTCAGGCCGGAACCGAACATGTTTTTTATTCTAACTTTTTCAAATTTTTCAAATATTTTAATTTATTTAATACATTTTTTTATATTATATTTTTATTTATTAATTCATTTTTATTAAATATTTTTATTTTTTACTTTACTTTTAGGGGCTTTGGGGAAATATTGGTGGTCTAAACCTAGACCCCTGATATTTCCCTTTTAAAATAGAAAAAGAGATTGAGGACTCTTGTGTCCTCAATCTTTTTCTGCAGTCCCTGTTATGAATGAACAGGAATCCTCTATACTGAGTGTTCCTGTTCATTTATAACTTGTGGAAATAGTGTGTATACTATAACCACAATCATGAATGAACAGGAGGTGATATACAGTAGATCACTTCCCTTTCATTCATAATTGAGGCTATAGTAAACATACTCTGTCCTCAATTATTTACAAACACTCAGCGATCACTGAGTGCTTGTACCTGCTCTCCATCCTGACACGCTGTCACAGGAGGGTGAGTGAGCGGAGCCCAGCCTCCTGTGACAGCACTGCAAGATGTCTCCGCCCACACCGCTCTCCTGATCTGTGACAGGAGGCTGAGCGGTGCGGGGAGGACAGACGCTGGCCGCTTACAGCGCTCTCCTCCCGCAGAGCTCGGCTGCCTGTGACAGTTTCTCTCCGCTATTTCGGCCCGAAAATTGCACTTTCGGCATTTTGCCAAAAGTGCAATTTTCATTTATGTTTCGGCGGCCAATATATCGGTGCATCCCTACTCATATGTAATAAAAGCATATGCCAAACATAGTCAAACTGCCCCATCAAAGAGCCAGAGCCATTAGCAGCTCATCATAAAGACACATATTTAACAGAAGAGTTGTTAAATGTCACAAAAGTGCACTCTGGGAAGTTACTACAGGACTGCATCAGAACCTTTGTGACCTAGTCCTAACATAAAATGTACATTATTAACTTTACAAAACTGTCATTGATCCCTTTGAAAACCACTTGTATCCAAGAGCAACAACCTGCTGTGAGAAGTACAAACCCTAGACCTTGAAATAATGGGAAAAAACTTAAAGTAATAGATATTGCTCAGTAATCTTTCTACTTCAGTTCTTACACTTAAAGGCAAGGCCATCCTACTAAACCAAGTTCAGCTTACTGTGTAAGCACTATTCTTTCAGGTGTTCCGGGATAATAATGCACCTAAGTGAAGAGTGAGTTCCTGAATACCAGAAGAAAACTAATAGCCTTATATGGCCTCAAACTTCACCAGATCTAAGCATCACTGAACCTTTATGTAACATTCATGAGAAAGACTCCCCTTTAAATAGGCAACACCACTTTTTCCCTAACCATGTTACAAAGTCATTACAGAGAAAACTGAAAACCAGAATTTCCTATAATAGTTAGCATTCAATTTAGCATTAATTGTTACACTCCACCAATCAAGTTAACAAAGAAAGAGGAACTAGTCTCTTGTTACCTGAGCTGCAGAGAGTCTTTTGACCCCTTTAAACAGGCTCCTATACCCCTATGTTCCCCATTATATACCCCTCTCTAAGATTGCCTTGTTTTACAAATCCATCACAGGAGTGAGCTTGGAGCGGTGGCTACTTTACAACACACACAGGGAACATGGGGAACAAAAGTAGCCCCCCTCCAGAAGGAAGGACAGTGTCAGCACCAATTCAGAGATGATTTGAGGATCTGCATCCGAGTAATGCACAAATAAGATACATTTTTGTTAATAGTTAAGGTACTTGAATGTAGTTTTAAGATTTAACTCCTGAGTTTAGTGTCACTTTAAAGGCTATCTAAAGCCAAAACTATTTTTGAATATGGGAGTGTTAAAGCTACTGTTAGTTGTTTTGCCATCTGTGTCTCTTTAGAGTGATTTCCCTTCACTTCCTGTCCTGTAGACTCAACAGGAAGTGAAAGGATATCTTTTTATTGTAAATGAAATCCCCTCAGTTGTCATGGGAACAAGTGTCCTGACTGAAAGATGTTTCCTCTATTCTTGTCTTGGTGGCAACTCAAAATGTTGTATTTACTCTCACTTTCATTACCAGTGACATTAGTGATCAGGACAATTGGAGACAGTGAACGTTCCTAATAGGGACGCAGACCGCTATAAAAACCTCACAAATCTACAAAACCTCTGCCTTTAGTTATACTTAAAGACCTCATTCCTAATAATAACAATCACATTTTATCATCCATGCCAATAAAATTCTGGCTAAATTACAACCCTATCGCCCCTCCGTCAGTTCTGAGACTTAAAGGAGAACTATGAGGTGAGTGCTTTTCACTCACTTCATAGTTCTAGCCGACAATGAGACTGTCACAGGTCGGCTCAGTAGATCGGTAAGTGAGCGAACACATACCGGCATTCGCTCACCTCTCAATCCTGTCACGGCTCTCTGCCGTGACAGGGGAGGGGCTGGATTCCCCCCTCCCCACTCCGATCCGCCAGCGCTGCCTGGAGGAACGGACGGGGGGAGGGGGGCGGGTACAGCTGGCTCTGCCTCTAGATAGGCAGAGCCAGCTGTCAGTCACGCAGCTGGGCGGATCCCGGCACAATTGTCGGGATCCGCTTCAGCTGCGGCGTCTCAGTATACCGCGAGCAGCAGCTCGCGGTATACTGCGGCGTCTCAGTATACCGCGAGCTACAGCTCGCGGTATACTGAGCCTAGGGTGACGGGAGGATGCTAGTTTGTATCCTCCCGTTACCCTAAGGAGAACTATGGGGAAAAGCCGTAACCCCATAGCTCTCCTTTAATTTACTCACAAGTGTCTGAAGGTTCACAGTCGAGGTAAACAAAGATAAGAGGATAAAATTAGTCATACTATGGATTCACTCAAGACACAATACAACACAATATAATACAATAATAAGTATTGTTATTTGTTATATATAACTTGTATTGTAACATGGATTTAACAGGTCGACAACAAGCGCTTACTCGGCAATAGAATATTGATACTTTTTGTCTGAGAATTCTTCCTTTTCAGTTGGTATCATATAAAATGTAATATAAAAAAATATCAATACAAATTGAATAAATAAACAAAGAATGAAATATACATTCACCAAATCCATTTGAGTAAAATACACAACATTAATACAAAACATAATAAGTAGT